TCTATTCAATTTCCTGTCCTGACTTCCTCTGATGATAAACTATGATGTGGAAGCCAAATATACCCAAGTTGCAGTGGTGAGATTTCATTGCAGAACTAGAAACCTGAAGGCAATTTCTCTGATTTTTATTATTTTTGCAGTCAACTGGCTTTGGATTTGGTTTGTTCTTGCAGATTTCTGAGTTGTACCATTCAGTCATTATTCATGCTCTTTCTCATTTTTTAATATAGGCATTTACAGCTAAAAATTCCCTGATAGGACTATTTTTGATGTATCCCAGAGACTTTGTTTTCCTTGACTTCTTCTTTGACCCATTCAGCACTTAGCAATGAGTTGCTTAAACTCCATGAGTTTGTGTATTTACTACGATTTGCTTGTTGTCAACTTTCAGTTTTATTGCATTGTGGTCAGATAAGATACAGGGAAGTATTTAAACCTTTTTGAATTTGTAAAGAGTTGTTTTGTGTCCCAGGATCTGGGCTGTTTTTAGATAAGCTTCTGAGCACTGATGAATAGAGTATGTATTGTTTGGTATTTGAGTGGAGTATTCTGTAGATAAGTCCACTTAATGTATGATACTAATTCATTCTGGTGTTTTTGAGTTTTTGGTCCAGATGATCTGTCTATTGAAGCAAGTGAGGCACTGAAATCACCTGCTTTAATAGGTTTATGTTAATCTGTCTTTATACCCAGTAGATTTTTTTTTAAAAATGAAATTGGGCACCCTAGAATTTGGTACATGTATGTTTGGAATATATTCTTGGTTAACTATTTCTTCATTTAGAATGAAGTATCCCTCTTTATGTCTTCTGATTAGTTTGAGTGTGATGTATATTTTGATAGCTATTAGGATAGTCATGCCTGCTTCCTTCCTAGTACCATTTGATTAGAGTGCTTTGTCAATCTTTTATTATTATTGTTATTATTAAGACATTACTTATAAACAATAGATTGATTTTGTTTCTTGATCCATTCAGCTAGCCTGTATTTTTGGAGAATTGAGCCACTGATATTTACAAATATTAAAATGTATACATTGATTGTGTTCATCATGTTGTGATTTTTCCTATGATTAGTATTTTGTATTTTAATAATTATGGTTTCATATTTCTTTCCACAGTCTTGATAGCTAGATTTATCCCTCTCTCTTCAACAGAAAATACTGCTTCCTGTATTTTCTTTAGGTTTAGTTTGTTGTATATAAAACTGTATATAAAATTGTATGTAATATTTTTTACCCTGTTTATACTGTGAAACGTTTTTCTTCTACACACACACACACACACACACACACACACACACACACACACCAGAAAGTTGTGCTGGGTATATTATCCTAGGCTGGCAATCTTCATCTTTTAGAATTTGGAATGCACTATTCAAGGCTCTTCTGGCTTTCAGTTTCCACTGCTGTTCTGGTAAGGGTTCATTTATATGTGACTTGAGGTTTTTGTGGCTGCAGTTTTCAGTGCTGTCTTTGTTGTGTATACTCAAAGTGTTAATTATGATATGCTGTGGGGATTTCTTTTCTGGTCTTGTCTATTTAGTGTTCAGTATGAGTTTTTATCTCTCAGGGTATGATTTTCCATAATTTGGAAAGTTTTTCTTCTATGATCTTGAAGATCAGGTCTATGCCATTTGACCTGGGATTCTCCTCTCTTTTATGCCTATAACTCGAAGGCTGTTTTTTTCATGGTGCCCCACACTTCCTGTATGTTCTTATGATTTAAAAATCATTCCTTGTTTATTTGGTTTACATCATTTACTCTCTTTAAATCCTGATATTGTATTTTCTTTTGATTCATTCTACTCATGAGGCTTTCCTTTGGGTTTTCTAGTTGGGCTATTCAATTTCACCTTCATTTCAGTTGAATCCTTTTAAATGGTTCTACCTCCTGACTGAATTCTGTTCTCAAGTCCTAGAATGTCCCTTGTCATTTTCATCAGCCTATGTTTATATTTTCTTGGGCATCACTCAGGTGTTTAGTCTCCTTAATTTCATTGAGTTATTTTCTTAAAATTACTTGAATTCTTTGCAATTTATGGTTGTTCCTTTAAATTGTTTCCTGGGTTCATCTAGGTAATTCTCACTGACAAACAGTTCTACAGGATAGGTAGTTTGTAGAGAGGAGATACTGGGTTTCATATCGTTTGTAATGAGATCTGCACATGTGGACTTTTTTTTGTTGTTGTTAGCGCTAATATTGACACAGCAAGTTGGAGCAGAAGAAAGGATATGTTGGGCTTACAGGTTGGAAATGGCTTAGGTGGTATGAAATCAAATGGACAGGTGCTTGTACCAGGCCAAGCCTAGAGTGTACGATAGATCTGATAGGTGTGCCAGCTTGAGTTTCTGCTTTGGTTACAAAGTGGGAGGCTCTAAATGTCTCTTGGGCAAGTGTGCCAACACAAGTCAGAAGGGAAGGTAGTGATTGAGGGAGTAAATGGCAGAGAGTGCAGGGACCAGAACCGCTTGGTCTACTGAAGGCTTGATCTGGAATACAAAATAAATTATCAACATATATTCTTATTTGGAATTGTGAAGAGTATGATATATATATAAAATCTATATTTGGAGTGTTGGATTAAAATCTCTATGTTCTGGCTTTATTAAAAGCTTTTTAAAATTTTATTTATTTACTTATTTTAGGACAGTCTTACTATGTAGCCCTCTATGGTCTGGAACTCATTGTATAGACCAGGCTGGCCTCAAATTCACAGAGATCTACGTGCCTCTGCCTTCTTAGTGTTGGGATTAAAGATATGTATCACCATCACCATGCTTAGCTCCTGGCTTTGTTTTAAAATTATTTTAGCTGGGAAACATGGAATAGTTTAGTCCATAGTACATCACAATTTTATCCATCTTTATCTTGAATCTCTAAAAGTTGTCTCATATCTTGAATCTCTATAAGTTGTCTCAAAACTCTGAGGACTATTAAGTTTTCCATGCCCACGCTGAAGAGAAAATAAGGTGAGTTTTGTAAGTTGACCATGGTCATACAGCCAGTATATTTAAAAAAAAAAAAAAATCTAAGGACCAAGTACTTTGCATTTTAACTTTTGTATTACTATTTTGTGGGCAAGAGCGGAGGTTCTGCATGCCTTGGCATGCATGTGAAAGTCAGAGGACAACTTTTAGGAGTTGGTCCTTTCCTACTGTGGGCTTCAGGGATCAAACTCAGGTTGTCTCAAACTTTTGTAGCACATCTCTATTCACATGATAGTATACCCAGGAAAACAATAGATTCTGGAATAGTGTTTATCGGGTTTGCTTTGAATGCAAGATTACATTATAAAAAGGTGGTCAGATGACTTCAAGCTTCTGGTGGGGCCCAGGGGAAGAAGGGACACTCTTGGCTTTGTGATGCTGTTTCTTCTTCTGTCTCCTTTAAAAGGCGCTCCGGGGTAGCAAAGTAATTTAATGTTAGCCCCTGAAGCTGAGCTTCATGAGCTGGAGATGAATTTTATCTGGTCTTCATTCTTCCACCAACCACTGGTGCTTAGCACTGACTTTCCTGATTTGCTGGCCTCTGTAATTAAGTGCACAATCCTCTGGAGGAGAAGTGGACTGCACTTGGTTTTGGTGGAGCTAGCAGTTCCTATTAGCTTGAATTGATTGCTGGCAGCTGAGTCACATGGTACCATTTCTCAATTCTATGACCTTGGAATGTTTCTATTCTGAGATTTTTTTTCTATAATACTTTTCAGTAAGAATGCAATCTGGAAAGTGTTTTGTTTTAAAGATCTGGAAGTAGAACTATCCAAACATCTATCAGTATATCTGGATTTTTTTTTTTTTTGCTGGTAGCCTGAGACTTGAGGAAGTTCTTCTACAACACTTAGTAGCAACTATTAGCAAGCCCTGTCTTGGATGTGAACAATATATACATGACATACACAGAGAAACCAAGTAATACCACGGTAGTTTCATATGCTATTTATTTATTAAGTTATTAATATGGACAGAATTATGCAACATTAGTCCACTTATCCAACCCAGGAGAAAGACCTTAAAGAGCTCATTCCTATGATAAGTGTAGCATAAACGCTCACGATAGCTCCCTTATTTGGACATCAGAGAGAATTGTTAGTCAGGTTTTTACTTACATTAAGTAAATCTTTGTTGAATTTAAAAGTGTGAAAATCCAAGTCTGATTTAGTCAATGCAGAGAAATCTAGATCCCCTGCTGGGGAGGAAGGAGCTGGTCCCTCTTCAGGAGCCCTTCTCACTGCCCTCCGGTCCCTGAAGGAACCCGCCCCCTCGTTTACATATCAGCAGGGGTCAAACCTGGGTGTGAGAAGGCAGGTCACATGGAGTCCTGATTATAAAGACTGTGTATCAAAGCTCGGGAAACTCACTTGGTGGTGGTTAGTGGCAGTGACGAGCACACTACTACATTGTGCCAAGGTTTCTTACATCGAGTCCTGGCTTGCGGTCTGTGAGAGATTGTTCTCAGTGGGCAAATGGAAGTGAGGGACTGTAACAGTGACTGCTATGAGGCCATCTGCAGAATGCACCGGCCTGGCTACTTATGGCTTTTAAAACTGGCCTTCCTTTCTTTAGTGTGGACAAGCTTACATCTCTGTTTCCTCTTATATCCACTAGGATAGCACAACATTTAAAAGGATTATGAAAGATGAAACTCCTTGGTTTCAGCCTGAAAGATGAAAAATAGGGAGGGAAAAAAAAAAGTCTGTTCTCCACCAAACAAGCTGTACTCAATTTTCCTTGGTTGAAACAAATGGCATGGAAGTTTAATGCTAATTAACACACAAATCAGAATGTAAAATATGGGCAAGATCCAAAGTGGTCCAGTATGCTTGGGTTTCTTTCAGCCCTCTGTTCTGATCACACTGAAAACCATGGTTCAGCAATGGGTCTCTGTACCACTGTCAGTTAAAGATGGAGTGAGAAGCCTTAGGAAGTCTTGCCATGTTGTTAGGCAGATTGCCTATACAGTTCAGAAAAAAGAAGAAACCATAGGGAAAGAGTGAGTACTGGATCTATTCACCTCCAGGCCTGACATTATTAGTAGGAGACTAATAATGAGTGAGCGGTCATACAGCTTTTTGATCAGTGTGCTTCCTAAGCACCCAAAAATATGGTGCTACTTTTACTGTTCAGTTTCATCTTTAAATAAGCTAGACAGATCCTGCTGCATTCTTTGTTTCTAATTTACCAGTACATTGTTATGTAGCTTACTGCAGGTGAAGAGCAAGTCAGCATGTAGTACCAAGTTTACATCATCACAGGGCTACAACATGCACATTCTACTTACTGTAGCTCAAGCGTCAGGGATACAGGATAACAGTTATGGGTGGAGATTTGTTTGGACAGTTGTGTTCACATTAACTATGGGTGAAGAGAAATCTTATTAGGCAGGTACCTACAGAGTTCTTCAGTTGGTACTGGAACCTTACACGCATGCACACATGATGTAGCGGAGGATGGAGCTGAGGAAGCAGCTGCATGAAGAACAGTGGGTGGTCAGCCGGGGCGATGCCTTATGCCAGGAGCGGCAGGGCTCAGCTTTCCACCGTAAGTCTCTGCTCTGTGAGAGAGGCCTGTTGGGCAACGCTTTTGTTCTCATGACTTCGAAGTTTGGAGACAACATCTAGAAAGGCCAAATCCTGCACTTCCTTGTATAGAGATTCTGGAAGAGTAAGACAATAGCTTGCTTATGTTTCTGCTATGTTGTTCTAATCTCACTATATAGTTTACTCCAAACATACACCTGACCACTTGACTAGACAGCTATAAAACCAGGAATAAATCAGAAAAGTCTGACAGTTCCCGACAAGGTCCTTTTTAGGACTACACTGTCATTTATAAACGTTTACATTAGGCTCTGAAGTCTAAAGTTGTTTAGGGCCTTAAGCGGTAATTAAACATAGCTCATCATATAACCTCAACATTCCATAATCAATCAAACTCCATCAGCAGTTCAAGCAAAAAGTTTGAATAAATTCTGTGAAACTCACCTCCTTTTTAGAATTTTTTTTATTAAAGGTATGGGACGCTATACTCAACATAGAATCTTAATAGACTTCAGGTTTACAAAATAATCATGAAAAAGAACAGACCATAAGTGTTTCTCATTTCTTGACTTTAATACAGTTCTGTTACAGAGAAATAAATCCTCACATTGGATTTGATATGGGAGTCAAGATTGGTCAGGAAAGGGCTAGGCTTTTCAACAAATGGTGTTGAGGAAACTGGAGTACCATATGTAAAGAAGGGACCTGATGGCTGTCTTACACACAAACTCACACACTGGAGCACTACCAACAGAATTTAAAGATAATTAAGGACTAATGTCAGGACATATGAAGGAACCATACAAAACAACTTTCAGCATGCACATGAAAAGATTCGCTGGCATCACTGATGACTACAGAAAGGCAAATTGAAACAATCATCTGATATTTATTGACAGGTGATTGATTATAAACAAAACTGCAGTTAGCTGCAAACTGGAAACCACAGACATCACTTGCAGAAACGTTACACAGCCCAGCCCCTTTGGAAGACAGCATTGCAGCTCCGCAAAATATGCAACAGATTTATTCTATGATCCCACACTTCCATTTCTTTGTATATACCTCAAAGAACTGAAAGCAAGGCCTTGAAGAGTGATGTTTATATTGGTGTTAAGTGGCATGATTGATAGAAATAAGACAGTGCCCTTCAAGGAGGGAATAAAATATCATATACACATACAATGGAATGTTGCTCAGCATTTAAAACAAATAATATAAAAAGCAGAATACAGACCTGCAGCAGCCAGAGGCAAAGGTATGGGGACAACTGAGGAGTTACTGCTGAATGGCTAAAGGATCAGTTTAGAAGGATGGAAAACAGTCTGGCGAAGTGACCATACCGACTGCCACAGCACACTGAAGAATGGCTGGTATGGTAAAGCTGTGTATTTCATTACAATGAGCCTATCTCAACAGAAACCTGGGAACATGCTTGAAACAGTTAGGAAGAAAGGAGAAGACAAAAAAGCAGCCAATGGGAATTTCAGCACTAAAGTTATTATTTCAGAAGACTGATTTGATACTTTTAATACTGGAATAAAAGGCTCTGAGAAGAGACAACATAAATTACTGTCTGAATAATAGGTTAAAAAAGCACCAGGAGCCTGAAGGACAGACAATGACTAAAAGATCTCTCACATACTTGCTATCAGAGACCTTGAAAAGGAAGGAAAACAAGACAGGCCTTTAAAGAGAATCTCAGGAAATAGCAGTTAAAGACTCCACCAATTTAGTAAGAAACACGAACCCATATAGATTCTAAAAGCTGACCAAACTTAAAAAATGTTAAGTGTGCTTCAAGACACATTTAACAATTAAAAAAAAAAAAAAATCACAGTATAAAGGAAACAGAAGGCAGTGGATTTCTCATTAGAAAGGATCATGCCTTTCATTCATGGATAGTCAGAATGTACAAAGAATCAGTTGACTATATATATATATATATATATATATATATATACATATATATATATATACATATATATATATATATATATATATATATATTTTTTTTTTTTTGGGTGAATGAAAGGATTAATAAAACATCCCTAAATGCAGAGAAATTGAATTTGTTGCTAGAAGATAACTTAGAATGGCTGGGGATAGCTATCTACGTGAGAAAGGAGTAACTCCCTTATTCCATTAAATAGAAGTGGTGTAAGTAAAACTATTGAAAGCACTGGCAGAGTGGATTATAAAATGACTCCTCATCTAATACCAGGTACTTCAAAGTTAGCAACACTGTAGCCCAGGAAAATGAAAATGCTATTCAAGTAGCTGTGCTGTTTAACACCACATAAATAAAGCTTCAGAGCAAGAATGTTAGCAGGGACTCAGAGGGACATGGTGACAGAAGGGTTACTCTGCCAAGAAAATGCAGGAGTCTTCAGTCACATGTTCCTACCAACACCATTTACAACCTTCTAAGAAAAAAACTGACAGACAGAAGGACAAACGTACACATGTATTATTAATGGGGAAGGGGGACTTCAATGCTCTTCTCTCAACAACACTCAGGACATCAGCAAGAATACAGAGACCACCACCACATCACCCCACAGAATTTAACTGATGTTGGTAAAACACTCCACTCAGTAACAGTAGAATGAACACACACCCAAGTATCCACGGTACATATACCAATACACAGCAATGAGTTCTTGAATAAAATCTTCATTTTTTGCTATTTACTGTATGACACTGTTTTAGAAGAATCCTTGGGAGCAGTTTCACTGTGACCTTGGGAGCTGGAGTTGGCTCAGTTGTCAGGAACACACGTTGCTTTTGCAGAGAGGGAACTAACTTTGGTTTCCAACACCTACAACTGGCAGCTCACGACAGCCTGTAATTACAGCTTCAGGGGATTCTGCCCTCTGAGGGCAAGTTCCTGTGTCTTCTTAAACATAAACTTCTACTGCTTTGAAACATAGCCACCACTTACTATGACTATGCCTTTGATGTATGGCACACCCTGATCAAATACCAGAAGGAAGGGTGGGTTACTCACCGGACCCTGTGAGAGCACAGAGGAGGACCATGGAGTTATACTTGATCTCTGGGGCACTTCTCTCATCTGCCAGGAGTCGGTGTAGCGTCTGTACAAGCTTGGCACTTTCGAGGTCTTTCTCAGCAGAGCCTACAATAGGAGGAGACGGTGTCATAGCCATTGCGGATGTGGTAGTGCCATCGGCTAAACACTGTTTCTCCATCTACACACTACTTAAAGAGAACTTCCCCAAAAGGAGCCATGAGAATCTCTATGAAAAGACAAGGGTATGGGGGAGGAAGAGAGCCGTGTAAACAATCCCAAACCAAAAACTTTTAGCTGTTTTTTTTTTTTTTTCCTATATTAAAAAACAGTTGTTACTTACTATTCTGTGCTTTGTGGGTTTTTCTTTTTGGTTTTTCGAGACAGGGTTTCTCTGTATTGCTTTAGAGGTTGTCCTGAAACTAGCTCTGTAGACCAGGCTGGCCTCAAACGCTCAGAGATCTGTCTGCCTCTACCCCTGAGTGCTGGGGTTAAAGGTGTGTGCAACTCCAATGAAACAATAACTTAAACACAGAAGACCGTCTGCATGATTTCCCACAGGCAAGATGTCAAAAACACCAAGAAACAATATTAAGAGCTATAAAGGGAAAAATACCAAAAGATCACATCTTTCATTCTTAAAAACCAGGAAAGTATGGAAATCAGGGTTCAAGCTCTGAAAATAAATGACTAACACCAAAATTACTATACCCAATAAAATTATTTCTTGAAATAAAACAGTTTAAGACTATCTCAAATTGAGGCACTCCATGCCAGGCAGGCTAGCCAGCACAAGATTCTTAAAGGAGTGTGTGTAGAGAAAGAAGACAGCATCATCCATGAACACACGGGAAAGGAAACATTCAGTGAGAGGAACAGATGAATAAAGAGCCAAGGGGATAGAGACATCACACCCAACACAGAAAATCGCTAATAGTAAGAGAAGGAAGATGATCCAGCCAACCAGAACATCACCTAACACTATCACAGGAAACAGCAAATCCTTCTAAATGATACCTTAAATGTGAATGACCTCAATCTGCAATTAAAAAGACACAGATTGTGTGGATTAAAAAGGAGTGTAAGACTGTATAAATCTACAAGGCAAACAGCTGTAAGCAAGCTGGTACAGCTGACAGAGGTTGGGATTAGTCATATGTAAGGTAAGGGAGTCCTGGGTGCATAGTTTCTCATGACTTTTAATCCTTTAATTGACAGAAAAACCAGACCTGTCTCTGCGCTCTAGTAAGTAGATTCAGGCTCCAGACCTGTCAGGAGGGGATGTGGATTGCAGTTCATCAAGACAGGTACAATCTGGGAACCAAATTTTGGGCTTTGAGAATTTCAACAAACACACAAAGACACAAAGGGATAAAAGATCCCACAGGTCCCGGCACAGCCATGGCAGGGGGCTCTAATATTCCATGCTCATATTAAGACAGATCTGCCAAACAACCCAGCAAAGACACTTCAGAGCTAAGTTCCACCGCAGCAGACCAACTGGAGACTCATCCAACCAAAAAGGCCTGAAAGAATCCCTTCTATCTTAGCAGACCACAGTAAGCAAAATTAGAAGCCAATAGCAAGAGAAACATCAGAAACGTTACCAATAATTGTATGCTAAAATAATTACAGTATTCATGGAAATTCCTGAAATGTCATGAAAATAACAGTACTATTTCTTATCATGACTTCTGAGATACATACAGTGAAGGTATACTAAAATAAAAAGCTTATAAATAAAAACATGCACACGGATTTATCGGGAGCTCAGAGTTCTACCAAACCAAAGAAGTCACCAAACCCAACTCTAATAAATAGACTAAAAAACATACATGTAATCAAAGAGTGGCTCCCTTAATCAAACAACTCACCCCTCCTCCACAAAAAACCCCAAGATGTTCAATAAATCCTTAGCGCCAAAATCAATAGGATTAGAGATGAAGGGAGTTGTCACAACACATGCCAACCAAACCCAAAGTCATTGGGGGCACTTTGAAATTTACATTCTAAAAGCTGAAAAACCTAGATATAATGGATTGATATCTAACTCATGTGACCTGCCCACAGCAAATGTGACTGAAGCAATAAGTTAGTAATAAAGTAAGCAATAAGTAAAAATAAAAGTAATAAAGGCTGATTCACTGTTGAATTCCACCAAGCTTCTAAGAAGATCTAACATCAGTACCTCTCAGACTAGGCTAGCCTGATACTCAAATGAGGGGGAAAAAAAAAAAAAACTACGACCAAATTCTCTGATGAACACACCAGAATTTCTCAATAAAGTATTTGCAAACCAAACCCTAGGTGAATCAAGGTGATTCTGAATCACAGATAATTTTGTTTCATACCAGGGTTGCAAGGCTTGTTCAACATAGGAGAACCAATAAATATATCATAGAAAAGGACGTTCAGAACATCATGATAGACAAAGGGCATTTGAGAAAGTTCATGAAAAATCAGGAGTAGACAGAATACACCTTAACACATTAAAGGCTAAGTACCACCATCACATCTGAAGTTATAGACTAACTTTGGAAAAGAACAGAGCTTTTCCTGTTACAATCCAGAACATGGTAAGGCTGCCCACTCTCTCAACTTTTGTTTAATATAGAGCTCAAAGTCTTAGCTAGTGCAGTAAGTGATACAAACAGGAAAGAAAGGAAGAAGTAAAATTTCTCCTATTTGCAAAGAACATACTTCTATATTTAAAAGACCCTATGGGCAGGGTGTGCTGTAAAGCAGTTTTGGGTCTTAGCCAAAAGTTATGTGGCTCTGATACAATTTGTGTCTTGGCTTCTCCTGCAGAATTCTGCCCACACGGATGCTGTACACATGGCCACCAACAATCACAGACAGAAACTAACAGTTGTTTAAACACAGCCATACAAAAAGACAGACGTGAGAATTTAGATAAAGGAAGTACTATAAAGTGACAGAAAATCTGTACAGGTTTAGATGGGAGAATTGGTAGAAACAGCTGGCATAGAAAGTCTGGGTCAAAATAAGAGCCCCACCCCCGACCCCTCTCTCCTCTGCCCTTCCCTCCCCCCCCCCTTTCTTTGATACAGGTCTCACATGAGTTATACCTAAGACCTGGGTCAAGGAAAAACACCCTGACTTGATCCCAGTACCAGGGCTTTAAATTCCACCAATCCCTGAGCTTACTCCCAGAACCAGGCTACAAAACCCCACCAATCCCAAGGCATTCTAGAAAGTGCACCCCCCCCCCAAGAAACCCTATATAAACTCTGTACCCTGTTCACTTTGCTGTTCACTGGCAGAGGCAGCCACCCTCCTGGATTTTTTCTTCTCCGTTTGTTGTGTGGTTTGACAGCCTAGAGGAGCCCAGCTGTAACAACTTTCACCAGACAGAGCTGGAGGAGTAGAACTGTAACATTTAGCTGCAGAAACCATCCCCTAGTGGAACAGTTGTTACACCCTGAGGGCCCCGAGCAGAGCTGTAACACTGTGCTGCCCTGTGCTGCCAGAGCAGAGTTGTTACACTTGCACTGGGGAACCTTCCCCTGCAGCACAGCTGTAAGCTGTGAGGCTTACAGTGACTTAGGTCTTCCTTGGCTCCCAACTGCCAGGACATCCTTCCATCCAAGCAGCAATGCTTACAAAAACAAGGTGGGCCTTAAATTCACTATGCAGCAAAGGTAATGTTAAACTTCTCATCTATCTGATTTAGAGATATGGACCACTACGCCTATAGGAATTGAACTCAGGACCTTGTGTATGCTAGGCAAGTACTCTGCCAATTGAGCTATAGCCCCAGATTATTCTTTGTGGTGATAAATTATTTATGATTCAATAAAGCTTGCCTGAGGGTTAAGAATACAAAGCCAGCCACAAGCCATAGAGGAATCCCAGCACTAGTGAGACAGAGGTAGATGGAGCTCTGAGCCCAAGACACACCCTGCGCTACACAAAAGTGAATCAGTCCAAAAGAATACCAGAGTTCCCACCTTTAATCCTAGCACTAAGGAGGTGGAGACAGGAGTGATATGGCTGGGTGGAGAGAAGCATATAAGGCAGGAACTCAGAGCATTTGCCTCTGAGGGTTTATGGAGAAAGGATTGCCATTTCAGCTTGGTAGAAGTAAGAGCTAGTGGCCGGCTGCTTTGCTTCTCTGATCTTCAGTTTGAGGCCTAATATCTATCTCTGGGTTTTGCATTCTTCCTGTGATATTCCAAGTTTCATTTCAATTACTATAAAGTCTACTGAAACATTACAAGTTAAGTCCTGAAGTGCTGATCTAAAAATGTTAGACAAAGCAGAGCCACAGGAAACACCTGTGACAGCAATTTATATATGACTTTCCATATATTCTGATTTAAGTAGACACTAGCAAAATACTCCCACAGACAAGGTTCTATTTTATTTCAATCCCACTCCTGTGCTTCCTTTCATCCAAGACAAAAATAGTAAAAAATAAGTTTGTCAGCGAGGTACTTACCCAATTCCAAAGCTGCTATTAGTGCCAAAGCAACAAGAGCTTCATTCTGCATTATTACATGTTCACTAGTTGCCATGGTAACTAGATGCTTGATGCCACCACTCTGTACAATGGTTTTAATTACATCCTACAATAAATAAATATCACAGAATTTTAAACTGAGATGGCATTATAATCAGTCAGCTTATTGTTGATGGTTATCTGACAGTGTCCTGTATGAATCATTACGTTTCAACCATACTTTTTTTTTCTTCTTCACAAAAGGAAAAGCTTTTAGCTTTAAATAAATTCATCAAAAGACGACAACTTAAATTGCCTAAGTGAAAAAGACCATTGCATTTCCTATCAAGGAACAGAGAGGCCTAGAAGCTACTGAAAAATAAATAAAATGCCATTTCCCCAAGTGTATATGTCCATCAGGAGCAACAGAAAAGAAATAAAATCTGGGATTTTAAAAGCTGGTGTTTATGAAAGTGCCAAGCAGCCATTCTCTAGATACTCTGGGTAAAGATTATTTTTTATAAATTTTTTTAAAGAAAATTATCTTTTAGCCTTTGTTTTATTTGACAAATTTGAGGCTATTAAGCGTTTAATGACTGAGAGCAGAACTAGCCTTCCCCAGGGAGGAGCACATCAACGGGCTGTCCAATACCAGTCAACCCTGAAAACATACACGCATACGCACATACATGTGTGATTAGTGAGAAATGAGGCCATGACCTCGAGGGAGGGGACATGGGAGGGAGACACTGTAACTGCAATAAAACAATAGCACAGGAACACACAAACAACAACAAACAACACACAGCAGACAGAACTTTAGTCACAATTATTCTGGTCCTCCTTTCTCACTGTGACTCTAAGGGAGAGGTGGCAAGGGGCTGTGGAGTGGAGAAGTCTGGGGCCAACACTGACTTTGACAAAGCAAACTCTGAGTCTGTCTTTGTCAAGTGACTTCATCTGTGATTTAGCTTTCCTGTTTCTGGAGTAACTATAAAGTTAAAGAAGGGCACAGAGGAATGTGGCAAAAGTCAGATGCAGTAAGTAGTCACATTTCCTCTTAGCAATTATTTTGTCCTCATGCTGCTAACAAATTAACTGTGATTTTCCACAAAATCACAATTTCAGAAAAACTTGCTGTTAGCTTCAATGGTGTGCAAATTAATGACGACTTTTCTAGTTCTCTAAATTATTTAAAATATGATTTCCTTTATGTTTCTATCTTACATAAAATTTTAAATCAACTAGTTATAGAAAATATCATGGCTTTGAGCTCCGCGATAACATTCCAAATTAGCAGCACATAAGAATTGGCGTTTTCTATGGGCAGCTATCAAGTGTTTTCCCCTGAACCGCTTTTAAAATTGTATTTATTATTTATTGTGTTTGTGCTTGTGAGTGTCAGGTGTGCTTACAGAGGTCTCAGAGAATAACTCTTGGGAACTCTGCCACCTCATGGGATCCTGACATCAAACTCGAGGAATCAGTCCCGCCCATAAGCCCCACTTCCCACTAAGCAACCCATCTGCTCCAGGGAAACGATGGTAAAAAGTAACAGTTTCTTGGACCTTTCTGGAGTAAACACCAGAAAACCTTAACAGATGCATGTAGTCCCTAAGGAAGGCCTGTGGACTGTCAGTTTTCTCTTTTCATATGGATACTTCTGTGACAGGGTAGCAGGGGAGGCAGGGAGGAAGGACCTCTGTAATGAGACACAGCATCTCAGCCCAAGCATGTCACCTCTCTTACCAGAACAGGTGCCTCAGTATTTCCGTTTTAAAACACCTACCATCTCTCCAGTGTTTCAACACGTTTATTACACAGCTTCTCCATGTGGCTGATTTCCTGATAGACTATGATAAGTTTATAGACACAGCTCATTCTTATCTTCTTGAGGACTGAATATGCAAGATACCGTCTGCAGTTTATAAATGAAGCAGCTTTATGTGATCCCCAGATGCATTTATAGTTATATTTTAACTTCAAGTTTTTCCCAAAAATAGAGGCCAATTAGCACCATTTCAGAAATCACTAGGTACACCCAGAGTATTATAACTTAATAATAATCTTCAAAAACTCAATCCTGCCATTCAGTGTCTCTCAAACCATTGCAATCACAATGAATAAACTAAATAACATGAAACAGCTCCGTTAAGGATTCTTTTTAAAATAATTATTTTTTATTTTATTATCATTGGTGTTTTGCCTGCATTTTTATCTGTGAGGGTGTCAAACCTCCTGTAGCTGAAGTTACAGGCAGTGGTGAGCTGCCATATGAGTGATGAGAATTGAACCTGGGTCCTCTGGAAGAGCAGTGTTCTTAACCACTGAGCCGTCCCTCTCCAGCACCATAAGGAGTCTTATCCAAAGCCTAAATGTTTGTAAAATCTCTTGAGGTTTTGTATTTTGTCTTTTAATAAAAAACCATGTTTTGGAACACATAAAGCAAAGGCAAACAATCCGTGCTGACAGTCTTATCTCTAACATTTAGTTGTTTTCCCCTTAATTACTAAAATATGCACAACTGTATAAAAATATGTTCTGTGATAGGCTTAGATTTCAACCCACCTTCACTGTAGTATGGTGTAGCCAATGAATCAAAATTTTCATCTTACCATTGTATCAGTGATTTCTCAGAAATCTGAATAAATGTGGGATGCGTGAACCAATGACTAAACACATTAGTCTGAACAGGGTTTTAAAAAGGCTTAATAACCGGGGAACATTAAACTCTTTAAGGGCGAAGTAATATGCCTACTTTGGTAGGTGGGTGACTCGGTCCAGGCAGCATATACTTCCTGGTTTTGCTCCCTGCATTTGGAAAGTATGAATTCACCTAATGGTATACGCACAGGAAGCTACTGCACATGGCTGAGATGACTAAATGTGAAACCTGAAACCTCATGAGTCCGTGAAGACTCCTGTAGGGCTAAAATCATAAGACAGAATTCAGGATGGCTCTGAAAGGTACACAGCATTCCAACCAAATACAGTAATTAAAGATGGTTAAATGTTTGCTTTATTTTGTTGGTTAATGACCAAAACCACCAATAACCATCCCAAACTTAGAAAGATTTGCAAAAGTGTGAAGTTTGGGGAAACTAGTAGTAGTTCTTAATGAAATTTTGTAACGTCTCAATTCCTTGACCGGTAATAATATTGCCAATTGACAAAAAAGCAACAATCCTATTAACAAACAAAAAACCAACAAAAACCAAGCAGAGAGTTAACAATTGCGAAAACTCTGTAGGGATGCATCCAATGTTTACTTATTCCAAACCTTTATTCTAAAGCCTTTCCCAAAGTATGTTCAGTGTATAGTTTAGAGGCACAACTTAAAACAAGCTCTTGGTCAAATCACTCAGTTATTAGTGAATTACAGGGTTACAAGGGTTCATTAGAAATGTTCAAATCTATGCTGTTAACCCAAAGCAACAAAAGGGGAACACTACTTCTGTAATCAAGCCTTCCATATAACCCTGTGTCTGTCTGTTCCTTCTTGAGACAGGGTCTCACTATGCTGACCTGGGCTATGAAAGCCCACCTGGGATCCAATTCAGAGACCTGCATGCCTTTGTCTGCCATGCATTACCACACCCAACCTTATACAACCATTGATAACATCTCTAGGAATAATTGTTTAATGATTGTTTAATAGGATACATCTTCAAATCTGCTGTTGAAAAGTAAGCATTAATTCCACCCCACTGTTTGTTATATTAAAAATAATTTAAATGAACAATCCTAATTTAGATACCATGTAACGACTGCAAGTTAAAGGCTGGTAACAAACATATGTAATCTAATGTTCTTATTGCTGTTTAACAGCTTATTCTCAAATGTAGGAAAGACATGTAAGGCAAAGAAATACAGCCATGTGTACCAAATTATAAACCCAAAATTATGTGACTATAGGCTGTAATTCTTATACAGCTCCTAGTTATTTTCGGTTATGTGTACATAAACATCTTTGAAGACACAGGCCATTTTTTTTATCTTTCCAAGAACCTAGTAGGTATTGGATACTTAATGGGCACTTAAAAATGTCCTGGGGGGGGGGAGAAGTAGAAGTTAGGTGAAGTAAAGGGGTACCTCTGACATATATATATATATATATATTTGTATTTCAACTCAATATTACAGTATTTGAAAAATTCTGGTTCTTAAATATGGCTATTTTAAAAGTTGACATGAATTTTTCCATGTATAACTGAAGCATGTGGCTTAGTCATTATTTCTATTTCTATTTATTTATTTTACCTTACAACCACATGGAACCAGAATTTATCTGAGAGTTCCATGTTCAGATGCAATAACTACTTGGCTGTTGTATGTACTACAGTAAACAGAATGATGGTTTGACTAAACTTTGAAAAGTTGGTGGGAAATCTCATGGGACAAAGAAAGACTAAGGGTCACTACTCTAAAAAGTTTGGGAAAGTGGGTTAGAATATAGAAGTGAGTGTCTGAGCTGCTCTTCTGGGTCTTCTTTGGATGACTGGCATGCCCTATCTGGTACTGAGCCCCAAACTAACTTAAAGAACTGCCTGCTCCCATATCCCTAGGAGAGAGGCCAGCTGATTCTACTGCCCAGGCCTTATCAAGTCCTATTTCCCATCTTCACTGCTACGCCACTCAGCTGGACCGTGAACTCAAACAAATTCTTGTTGGAACAATGCAAAGTGTCAAAATGATGCTTAGCAGTTTCAAAGCTCAACCACAAATGGCATCATCTCTTTTGTACCTTTTGCTTCAATTTCACCCTTTTCCCTGCTCCCATTATAAACGCTAAAGCGGTTTTTCTAACTAGAAATAAAATAATGACACTCTGTTGGTTAAAATCCTTAAGAAGTTTATATGTCTTCTGGGCATGGTGTCACATGCCTCAAATCCCAGCCTTTCAAGGCCTGTCTGAGCAAAATAATGAAAGTCTGTCCAAAAAGGCTGTGACTGTAGCTCAGTGGTAGAGTATGTCCTAGTGTATCCAAGCCTGAATTAATCCCAGTAATATCAGAGGGAATGGGGTGGAAAAACTACTTTTCTAGAGAATCTAACCCACATACTTTACTTGTCATATAATTCATCTTAATTCTAACAATCCCCCTCTCCACTATCTCCAACAGACCTACATTTGCTGTATTCATGTAAAGCTGTGCCTAATGAAATCTGTATATCACACGCGCGTGCACATACGTTCTTGCTGAAAAAGCCCTTCTCCACTTTCTCCCTCAGCTCCTACTACCAAAGCCTTGCCTTTAAGTAATGGTATATTAAAATTAAATAAAAGCCTCAGTCTTCATTTCCTGCTAGTACTGGAGATTGGCATATTTACAGAAAATACATGACTATGTTAGCAGATGGTACACAGTCTACAATGCTAGCTTCCACAACGACCACTTCAATCCTTGTTAGTGGACAGCTTTCTGCGGCACTTACTTTTGATTTACTGTGTCGTATGAGGGCAGAGAGCAGCCTGTTTGACTCCCCCATCACACCAGCATGATCTTTGGCTTCGCACCACTCAACCAAACGCTCTACCAATTTAACGTTCTTTCCCAGTTGTTCAGCAGCTTCTGCTATAGGAAACAAGGCAAACCAAAAACAGACCAAATCACTGATACGCAACCAGCTGACATGAAGGCAGGTGCAGGAAGAAACACTACAGGTCTAAAACATAGTGCAACCATTTCATAAAAGCAAGTACTGCAGATGCTCCTTACCTAACGGGCTAGTTAGCTTATTCTGCAATGTTACAGGCTTTCATGCAAATATAAAAACAAGTAACTTCATATTCTTGGGTGAGCCTAACCAGTCAGTGCTCTGGTTTCAAAAGGACTCCAAGCAATCAAAACAGAGGAGGGTTAGGAATTAGGAAATACATAAAAACAACAAAGTCCACTCCTAGAAGTAGTCTTACAGTCTTTAAAACAGGGTTTCAAGACAGAAAACCCCAGTAGTACAACATCACACCAACATACAGCAGACTTAGGTATTAGCAATATATAACATAATTCTTATGCTATTCACTTTTTAAATTCTGCAATTCTGGCAACTAGAAACTGAAGTCCCTCTCAGGCACATAGAATTCTATGCCAAGAACGTGACTTAGAAACTGTTTCTTTTACCTTGTGCATCTATTAACATTCTTAGTGTTCCCAGGAGTTTGAACTGGACTGGGGGCATTTCAGATTTAAGGAATTTCAATACTGTCTCTGTAACCCCAGCTGATAACATCTTTGCTTTATTTACAACTAGAAAGAAAAAGAGACTATGGTTAAAGTGGTGCTAACACTCTCAATACACATTCCATTCAACACACATCTAGTCCCTAATAGCAAGAGCATGAAATGGCGAGGCGGGAAGATCAGGATCAAGTCCTCATAAATCACATAACAAAAGTAGCCTGGGACACAATCTGTGCCCCCCCCCCCCGGCCACTCAAAGGTGGGGGGAATAAACAATAAGATTGGGTATATGTAAGTGACCTGTTTATAAGAACATAATACACAAAAATCATACTAGTTTTTAAAAACACAATTTTGAAGCATCTAGCTAGAGAATGGGTAAAGAAAATCTAAAATGTTGACATCTTACAAACTACACACGCACTCTTTATCACTATATTTGACTCGACTGTCCGAATATAAATGTGGTACATTATTAAATATTATCAATATGTTATACAAAACAAATACAATTGGAATGGGTCTTCATGTTACCATACTACTTTATCAGAAATTTAATTTTAGTTAGTAGAATAAAAAGAATTAGCCTTAACAATCATCTAGTTCATTTTCTCTAATAATGTCATTCTATGGCTCAAAACTGTTAATACAATGAATGCTATGTATCTGTTCACAGGATGAAAGAGGACGCCACTACCTTATGTAACTATTATTTTGGGGACTCTATTCACTGATGTCACATCTTTCTTTACCTAAGAATGACTAAACAAGTGTACCCATGTAATATAATGAAAAGCAAAGAGCTCATAAAAACTAGTCAGTTCACTTAGGTTTGGAGAAGGGTGAATAATTTGAAGATGACTTCGTCCGTCCGTCTGTCCATCCGTCCATCCATCCATCCATCCATCCGCCCTTGGAGAAAGCTTCTCTCTATGTATTCCTGGTGGGCCCAGAACTCATTTCTTATATGTGATTGGCCACTAACAACATCTTCACCTCCCGAGTGTCAGGATTAAAGGCCCACAACTGTCACAGCAGCTGGCTCTGGCTCACCCCCTTTCTCTGACAGGGAGGTCCACGAACCATGTAGCTGCTCCATCTTACCTGGAATGGCTAGATTCCTGAGGGCACTCAGTGCTGCATGTTGTACGGTCACGTTCCCATCTTCTACGTGTCTGTCCAGCAAATCCATGAGCTTTTCTACAATTCCATTGTCTACCATATGAATACAGTTTCCATCTACATAAGACAAAAGCAAATGTCCTTCTTTATAAAAATGTGTTTAAGTATCTTCTAGCATTAAATATTTTAAATTCTCCACTGATTGATGCCACAAGCCTCATATCCTGCCAGTCTTACAAAGACTGTGTAAAGAGAAGGGAGGAGAAAATAAGTCAGTCATGATAGTCTAGAGGTTGGACTTTTCTGAAGCAAAATCTCGAAGTATATGAGATGTTCTAAAGTCTGGAAATTTGTGGCAGAGACCCGAATCATTAAATAGAAATTCTACAACTGAATTGATGAATCAGCCACAATTAGGATACACTAAAAATATCATATAAATCTATTCTCAGACTATGTGCACAAAGTATACAGGAGACAGACAAATTTCATGTTTAGGCTTGGCTCTTCTAATCAAGATATTGCCTAATGTCTATATAAGTATTCTAAAATCTGAGAAAAATAAAAAATCTATGTTTCAGATCTCAAGCATATTGGAATAAGGAACACTCAACCTGTGTTATATATAAATAGTTCTCCATATTTCCTAGTTCTTAGGTTAACTATCAAGGGTTCCAGATTTACAAGCTAAGAGGTCCAGTACCATTGAAATATTATTACACTAAATACTGTACACCCACAGGATTATTCATATGTAAATTTCATGGGTGTAAGGGTATAACCCAATAATCCAAGAATGACTATTCAGATTGTACAAGCCAATATAGTGACTGAGAAAGGAACGAACACAGCCCCCATCAGATGTAATATGCTCGAGTTCACCTAACTTGAAGCACTAAGTAGTCTAATCCAATGCACGATCACGATCTTTAAATTTGAGAATTCCCATGACTATAGTGTGTATCATTTGTTAGGAAAGTCACTACGACTATCTCCGGCTTCTAAAAGATTACACAAACAACACACAAACATTTCTGGACTGTACAGTTTTGGAGTATGTGACAGAAAAGCAGAAACAACAACAACAACAAAAAAAAAAATGCAGAATACTTTATGCACAAGGAATAAGTAATATATATACCATTCCTGGCAAAATTCGCAATTGCTAATGCCCCAGCAAGCTGTAGCTGATGGTTATTCGATGGGATCCAAGAAAGCACTCTTTGGAACACACTGCCCTTTCCTCCTTCAAAAAGCTTCTGCATGGATTCATCTGGAGGGAAATGAAAGTAAAAGTTAAATAAGATAAATTACAGGAGTTAACAAACCGATGGTCCAAAGTGAATATCCAACTAGGAAAGGACACCTCACAAAACACGAAGTTCATAATATGAAAAATCTTGTCATAGGTGATTAGTAGAAATTAGACACTAAAGTTTATAAACTGTATAGCTCAATTTCCATGCACCACCCAGCTTTTAGTAGTCTGCTGTCATAACTGTCTCTTCCATATGACAGGTCTTCAAACACTGGCAGATAGCAAACACTTAACTTTTTCTTTTCATAGTGTGTACAAGGTTTCAAAGTCACCACAGCAACAGTAAGCAAGATAAGAAAATAAGACGATGCATAGCATAGTGTTTTTGAAAGGCACAGTAAATCTAAAGAAACCTGATGGCCATATTCACTGACTGACAGAAGTTAAATCTCACCTCCGAGAAGTAGTAAAACCATAAGATCTGAAGCAGTCTTCAGCTCAGCAATGCCATCCTCTTTGTCACAATCCACCTTCTGTTGAACGATCTCTAGCAGACACTCTACCAAACCCGCTTCAACCAGCTGCAGTTTAATAGCATCTGAAGAACAATGTGAACAAAATTGTTAAGTTTCAATGACACAGGGTCTCCGGCATAAGTGACCTGTCATCAAGAATTGTAACCTTAGTTAATGCAGGACTTAGATAAAAACAAAAAACAAACAACAACAAAGAAAACAAAGCACCTTTGAACACTTGAGTTTCAAGATCCAGCTTGATTATGCAACTCACTTCATTTTTCTATTTGAAATTCTTTCTCCTCTCAAGTGTCTTGTAGCACCCAAGTACAACAGGTCTTTATTTTAGTTCTGACAATAACTAATATCACTATTCTTTTAGATATTATGATTATGTTGAAAGGCAAGAGTGTATTATACACACATCATCTATAACACACAAACATATCTGTTATGTAAAGTTAAAATACATCTATCAGTTTTGAATAAAAAGCTATTAAAAATTAAGGTCCTATTAGAAAATCTGAACCTACAAACAAGTATACTTAGTTTGGTATTTGTATAGATGGACTTTTTCTAGTGTGGTTTATAACTTAGTGAGTTTTCATTAATGTAAACCTTTTTTAGATCACAAGTACAAACATAACATGTTTTTTAAAATGTCTATAATACAGCTGAAAGGAAAAAAAAATCAAGTCCTCCCATGGTTAACTGATAATAATAGTTTCATTAAAAAAAAAAAAAAAAAAACCTGACTGCAATAGTAGCTTCAACACACACTGTTTAATGTTTTATAGTGCTAATATCTTATTCTATTATTATACTATTGTGCTCTTGAAGATTTTGAATTTGTAGTCATATCTATTTCCTCTTTGAAAAAAATTTAAATTTTATTGTTTTAGTTGGATTTTACTTTGCTCATCGGCTTCCATAAACTGAATGTGTGTCACACACAGTAATGGCAGTCTCAGTTTGTCATGTGAAAGGAAGACTTTACAATGTACATATACTTACTGCTTATTCTTTTAGGAAACTTTAGCATGGAAATTTTTAACATTTTATTATCACCAGGATTATTAACTTTTTTTGAATACCTCTAAGTACACAAAATACTTTAAAAAAAAATACACCTGCATCAGGCCATACTCTAAGCAGGACGTTTCCTTGGTTACAGAACACTGGGGCTAGAGATGTGCAGAAACTAGAATTGAAAACTATGACTTAAAGAAAAACCTTAGAAATGTTAACAGCATGAACTACATAGATACAAAGTTACAATTACCCTTCTTGTATAGCAAAGGAAAGAAATCAAACAGGGTGCAAAGAATTAATACAGAAGCAAGTTTTCTGAGATATGTCACTCTGTCCCCTGCAGTTACTCAACAGACCTTATCTGGATGAGAAAGCAAACCCTGCTCTATGGGAACTCTGTAAGGAGGTGACAGATTCTTTTGGCATTGGAAGATGAGGGTAACATTTCCATTTTGTGGAGACACCTGATAAGGAAGTTTCTCCCTGAAGAATGAGATTTAAGGTATTTAGAACATGTCACACGAGCAGGATGAAAGTTACAGCTTTTTCTTAAAGTCTGACTGTAACCACAGATTTAGAGACCTCAAGGTGCCTTAGTGAAGACCAGCTGGACGTTTTGGCAAAGCAGACTTCCTACCACGTTGATTGACACCATTTTACACAAGGACTATCCTTTTCACTTGTTTGTACGGTAGTGTGAATATAAGGTGTATCTCTCTCTCTCTCTCTCTCTCTCTCTCTCTCTCTCTCACACACACACACACACACACACACACACACACACACACACACACACACAATAACCTGCATTATGTCAAACAAACAAAGGCAGGCAGGTTGTTTGGGCTCATGTGTCAGTCGGCCACACTGGGGTAGAGCATTATCAGAAGGAAGGTTTGCATAAAGGTAGGGCAGTCTCTGCCACCTTTAGTTAATCCTCTCAGGACCCTGACACATGCTTCAATCCCAGGAGCTTCTTAACCCGTGTCAGCCAACCATATAACTTTTATTTCAAAGCCAGAGCAAAGCCATATATGCAGAAAATACACATAAGCAACTGTGGAAAAGATAATAACTCAGACCAAGAAATTGTCAACAATCTAAGAGGTCCCTTCATACATTTCTCATTCTGATCACAAACTCCTCCCTTTGGATCTCTCATGCCATTACCCTGGCTAGTATGACAAATCACCACTATACTTTATTATCTCATCAAATAAAAAAACCACTCCTAAAGACCACTGTCTTTTCTTATCACTAAGTGTATTTGTGTGTGGTGCTGGGGATTGGGCACAGGCCTGCATGCATTCTCGGCCCTGACTTACTTTTCATTAATTTTAAATAAATGAATATGTATTTCTTAGTGTTTGTTTGCATTTTCCTTTTTTTTTTTTTTTTTTTTTTTTTTTTTTTCCTTAAAGAGGTATTTATTTACTTTCTGTGTGTGGCTGGAGGACATGGAATGGAGAGGGCCCATGGAGAGTCACAAGACAACTTGTAGAAATTGTTGCTCTACTTTATACTCTGTGGCTTTGGGGACTGAATTAAGGTTCCTATCTCAAGGTAACTAACTTCTACGCCATCCTAGAGCCCTCATCTAGAAGCTGATGGAAACAGAAGCAGACACACACAGCTAAACACTGAGCCAAACTCCTGGAAGCCAGTTGCAGACAGGGAGGAGTGATGAGCAAAGGGGTCAGAAACCCCTTCTGCAGCAAAACGCTGCAGAAACCCACAGAGACAGCTGACCTGAACAAGGGGGAGCGCATGGACCCCAGACTGATAGCTGGGAAACCAGCATTGGACCATCTCATACCCTCTGAACGTGGGTCTCAGCTAGAAGGGCTGGGCAGTCTAAGGGACCTCTGACAGTAGAATGACAGGATGTATCTCTGGAACACGGAAGGGAGCACATTCCCCATGGAGGGATAACTGCCTTAGCCTAGAGGCAGGAGGGAGGGCCTAGTCCCTACTCCAAATGACTTGACAGATTTTGATGATTCCTCCTGGAAGACATCACTCTCCCTGTGGAGTTGAGGGGAGGGAACTGGGATCGATATATAAAATAAGAAAAAATAATAAATATATATTTTTAAAAATTTCTAGCTTTAAAATGAAGCCAGTACCTTATGTACCTTATGTAAAATCAATTTAAAAAATATAGGTGGAACTGGGTAGAGTGGTACATGTCTTAAATCCCAGCACTCAAAGTCAAAGGCAGATGGATCTCTGTGAATTCAAGGCCAGCCTGGTCTACAGGGTGAATTTCAGATATCCAGAGCTACATAATAGAGAGACCCTGTCTCAAAGGCAATGGGCCTGCCTCCAGCTGTATTTTCCCTGTGTTCTCAGTACTGTTTAGCAAAAAGTCTCTCTTTTCCTTCTGTGGTACACTGTAAATTATGTGCAGTTTCCTTGCCTTATAAAAGCCTTTTGAGACAGAGCCTCTCTGTGGTGGACTGGCCGCCTACACGAACATGGCATCTTTTGCAATTTCAGATCTTTTTTCTGCCAGCACTCTGCACTGTCCCTCCCCAAAACATCTACTCTCTTTGGGGGCTAAAAACAACACAACAACAACAAAGGAACCGATAATAAAGCTGAAGTTAGAGATACACAAAATAAAATATAACAGAAGATAAACTATAACAACATTAGTAGCACAAAGAAGGGCCCTGAGTTAAGAACTGGCATTAAAGAAACCTGAGAAACCCAACATGATCAAACATCAAAAAGTGTTTTTATTTATTTTTTTTTTTCTTACCATTTTCTGCCAGTGGAGCTAGAACTTCAAAAATCATTTCTCTTTTATCATGTTCTATTTGTTTCTTGAATAGTTTTACCAGCTCTTCAGCAATGTTTGTACTAGCAAACTGTTCTTTACTCGACTCTGAAAAATAAAAGATTTAGAGTAAGCAAACAAAAATTAAGCCCAGAAATTTGTTTCCTATCATTTTTAATACTCAGGCATTTTGTACTATCACTGAGCACAAATGCTCTTCAGACACAGGAAACAATCAAATTGATTTTTAATGCCCTTAAAAAAAGAACGTGTCTAAAGCTTTAGAGAAAAATGTTCTGACCCAGTTAGATTTGAGGCCATAAAAAATGTTCACTGGCATTACATATAGGTAGCTATAGCAACGATAAAATGACTGAGTCATAAATTCATACTTTCAAGGCTTTCATGCAAAGAAGAAAATTGTTCATAACAAATTACACTTCACATTGCTGAATAAAAGATGACACCAATGTATCTTTAGTATAACTTAATTGAAATGTTTCTGTGCTGCCTGTGGCATGGCTACTGTGTTTTTGCAGTGTTAAGAGATTAAATTTAAGGCTTTGTGCATGTAATCTATCACTGAGACCCAAGCTCACAGATACTACCACTGAAGTCAATTCAGTGTTTCTGAAGCCTCTTCCCCTGTCCTCTTCAGCATGACTAACCTTTCCCTCTCTAGAAATTCACTCTCAGTCAGCATTGAAATGTATATATTTCTCACATAAAACACTCCCTCTCTTCAACTGCCACGCAATTTCCTTTTCCCAAGTTTCTTAAACACGTCCTCTATTTACAGTGCCTCCACTCTTCTGACTTACACAAATCAGATGCATCCCTAAATGCTCATTACTCTCATGAGGTCACCATACACGGGTATGTTTTTGGCAGCCCGTTCTTTCCCCTCTCCTCAAAGAGTAAGATGGAGTCAATGTAGACACACTCTCCTGTTTAATGTCTCAGTCCTTGTGCACAACACTGGCAAAAAGGTCAAGATGGCCGCTTAACTTCTTTCCCATGAAGCCATGTTGATCTGCATGTTCCTCAATTTGAAGCATTTACCAGATGTAGAAACACAACCATGAACAGATTGAAATTGGTCCTCAGCAAGCAACTGCAATTATATGTGCTTGTTTACTCCAGCCCATCAAAGATGGCTGTCACTTTCTCTTAAGTCAGGTGACATAAAGCTTCCCAGCCTCTGCTTTCTTCACTGTACTCCCTTAAGAAGAGGACTCCAAGGATGAAGGACTCCTATGGTACAGCCTGTTCTCTAGAACACCACTCACTGTCCAACAGACACGGGCAAAGTTCATCTTTGTATTTATTTTACCCACCAGCTTCAAATTATCTAGCCATCATGAAACGGGCATAAAATGTTGGCAAAACATCTATTTTTTCATGCTGCCATTAAAACCCATTGTGTATTTTATACTTCAGCACATTGTCAATTCAGAATCGCTGCAGCTACATTTCAATGTTTAACAACCACGCGTGCCTGGTGGCTACTCTGTTACAGTGCATGAGATCTGAACCATTCTCTTTATGGTTTGATACAATGAGTGACATCACTGTGAGAGTCTAAAGTGATTTCTACAACTATCCTGGGCATAAATTCCTATGACCCACTTGGTTTTATTAAAGGAAAACAACATTTCTAAATACTAACTGGATGTTCGTTCTTTCTTAATCTCACTTAAAAAATCGTGTATTAGTCAGCCTAGCATAAAAAAAGTATAGAAGAGAAGCATGCTAGGATGTGACCCAGTACATAATAATAGTTTTGAGCTAGATGCTGTGCACGCCTTTAATCACTACACTTGGGAAAGAGGCAAGTAGATCTCTTGTGAACATGAGGCCAGCCTGGGCAACTTAGTGAGTTCCAGGCCAGACAAGCTAAAAAGACTCTCTCTCTCCCCATATATATGTGAGAGAGTTCAGTTAGTTCAGTAGGTAACAGCATTTGCCACACAAACCCAATGACCTGAGTTTGATACTTGGAGAAAAAAGACTGTCAAAATAACCCTTCTATTATTTTAAGCTTCAAGTCAAACTGGAGTACTGGAAATATAGTGTGCAAAGAACACAAACTTTTAGAAAGATCAACAGCAAAGTCCTGGTGCCTTATGTTTCATTATCAAATGTAAGATTAATAGATACATTTATGCTTTATCTATTACATCATCTAGAACAAAACACCAGTGACTTTCCTATAAATATAATGAAGAATTATAAACATGGCTGTGGGGATGAGTCATCCCAGAAGTTGGAAGGGGAAACAAGGGATAGAGAAGAGGGAAATAATACAGAAAACTGAGGGAGGCAGGGAGGGAGGGAGGGAGGGAGGGAGGGAGGGAGGGAGGGAGAGAAGGAAGGCTGAGGCAATTGGTCTTTTTCCTAAAAAAGAAACGTCTGCAGCAGTGACCTTGTTCTGTCTTATTTTCAAAGGGTTCTCAAATTCTGCTCTATAACACTCTTACTTACAAATACACAGGAACCTGCAAGACAGCTCAGCAGGTAAAGGCACTTGCTGCCAAGCCTGGCAACCCGAGTTCAATCTCAGGGGCCCACATGTCAGAGGGACCAAAGCAGCTCTTGCAAGTGATCCTTTGTTTGCCACACTCACGCTGTGGTGCACGCACATGCATATACATACCCTCAAAATGTAAAGTGTTACATATAAATATAAATTTATATGAAAATATATATTACACATCCATACGAAAACCCATCACTTTTAGGGATCTTGTGAAAAGATGGGGAAGCACTTTAGTTTGCTAATGCGTTTAAAGGTTATCTAATCAAATAATTTATATTAAAAAGAAATCACAGTGTTTCTTTTGCGTGTGTGCTAGTGTAAGTAAAACCATAGGCTTCTTGTAGATTTTATAAGCACACTGTTTCTGGGCTATATACTCAAAGCTCCTAAGATTTAAATCCAAATATATAAAAGAGAAACAAAATAGTCGAATTGTAACCATTTCAATAAGAAAATCGAATTGGATTTATCTCTTTTTTTTAACACGAAAGTACCCTGAATACTGGAAAGAAGATCTGAAGTAATTTAAGTGGATCCCAAGTTCATAAAGAAACAGCCACTGTAAGAGCATGGTAAGTTAATGACACTGGTGGCTTGTGATGTAGACTTACCAAGTTCTGCTAAATTCCCAAATGCGACAAGACACATTTCCGTAAGAGCTGCATTATGGCAGTGGATGCCCAGTAATTTCACTAAGGTTGGGATAACACCCATATTGATTAGCTGAGCTTGCAGGGAATCTGTTAAAACAGAAAGAGGAAAAAGGGAAGAAGTGTTTATATTATCAAATATTAATGAACAGAAAACATCTGTTACTTTCTGTAATCCAGTTCCCTTTGAATTACAGCAAAGGCAAATGAAGTTCACTCGTTTGGCGTTTTGGTGAGCCTAGCCCTTACTGGCTGAATCATCTCTCCAGCCCAATACTTGAGTATTTAAGTAGAAGAGCTGAGATGTTAATCTTTTCAACAATTAGCAGAAATTCAGAATTCATTTCTAGAATGTATCAAACCATTATTGTTTTTCTTCTAAATGGGGGTCTTCGTATATCTAAGTTTAATGACAAAGCTGTTAAGACATATAAATAAACACACCACTGGCTTTAAATGAAAAGGTTAGAAACACCCGTGTAACAGCAACTCGACAGAATGTATGGAAAGGCTAAGAAAACAACCAGGAAATTGAGAGACCAAGAAAGAAGAGAAGAACCTTAGAATTTATAATTATAGCTCTTTCATAATCAGAAAAACACATCAAAAATATGTGGCAAGCAAAGCAACTGGTTCTGAGTATTTGCAAGCAGAGTGTTCTGTGATACCTGCTAGGAAGCAGTGCAGTTTCAACAAGGGGGGAAAGTGTTACCTAAAGCATCTTTTTATCAGTTTCACTTAATTATATATAGTGACAGGTCATCTCCGTAGGACGGATGACTTGACAGGCGAAGGGGATGATGTCAACACTAGTTTTCAGACACTAAACATGCTTTGTGTCTCCACCATGTTTCTCCATGAATAGCAATAACAAAATCCTGTAGCAAGGCTGAAGGTAAATTAACCCAAATGAAAACCAGACGTAGTACCTCTTAGAATAACATAAGGACAAACACTTATGCATTTACCCAAAACACAACTGTCAATAATGGTTTCATCTGAAAACAGGAATGTTCTTTCCAAGTTTTTAAAAATTTACTTAAAAATACTTCATATTAACAAATCAGTATTAATATTTATCAATATCAACATTTGGTAAATCAAATACATTAATATTTCATATATTGAATTATATAAATGCTATTTAAAAGCTAATTATTCTCTCAAAATTCTTTAATGTTATCTGAAATGTCAAGGTAAAATTGTTTCTTTTCTTGACAAGGTTTCTCTGTATTGCTTTGGAAGCTGTCCTGGAACTTGCTTTGTAGACCAGGCTGGACTCAAACTCATAGATCCACCTGCCTCTGCCTCCGAGTGCTGAGATTAAAGGTGTGCGCCACCAATGCCTGGAGATAAAATTGTTTCTTACAAAATGCATTTTCTTCACAACACAAATCCCTTGATAGCTACCAATCCCTTCTTTATTACTCTTCACAATTAACTTGGAGATATGAATGTTAGTAGGTGGCTACCAGAGGAGAACACAACTGAAGGGCTGAGCTGTCTCACATGCCCATTTATTACTTGCCTGGTGGTCTTTGTTGTTAATTCTTTGTGGCTTTTATGAATTATGAAGAGATGGTCAAAGACTAATAATTGCCCCTGATAACTGAGTAAGTAACTTTGGCTAATTATCTGCTTTGATTATTGGGGCCTGTCTGGACTAGAAAGGGGACTTTTATCAAAACAAGAATAGAAGATAAACTTGAGAAAAAGGCAGGGCTACATTAACAGTTCAAACAGCTTAATAATACATTTCAAGATTGGCAGTGGAACTGGGAAGGTTATTCTACATGAAAAGTATATCCAATGAAATGATTTGCTTTTATGCTTTTAATGCAAGAACTTTCCTAAATATACAATGAAGCATTTAAGTGAGTGATTCTCAATACTTATAGGCAAAACCCTTATGCTTTACAATACAGTGCAGTATGCTATATGGGCTCAATACTTCCATTGAAAGTATACTACTTATAATGATCATGCACCAAAACCCTCTCTGAGTTAGAAATTCTCCTGGTTAACTTACCGGTACCATTCTGCACAGGCAGATCAAGCCAGCATATCTTTGCTCTTTAGCAGTATTGTGTACTCATTTTGACTGTCTCATCACACTGCAGAATGCTAACTCTCAGGTATGTAAGCGTGAGCACTAGCGCATGCATTGAGTGAGAGTCAAACTCTGCTCTACACCTGCTTACGGAAGCATCACACACCCCATCAGGACTGCCAGTATGAGCTTCACAGATACCCAACAGTGCAGGGACATCAGAGGGACATTCTATGAGGAAGGTAACTCAACAGGGTGATGCCGCTTACAAGATGAGGGGCTTTACACTCTATTCGGCATCAATGTCACTTCCTTGGACTACTTACAAAAAAATGTAATAAATTTAGGTTTCTGGGTAAAGAAAAACAAAAAGGTAAGAAATGTAGTAGAGCTTAACAAAGTCTTTGGGACAAAAAATCGCAAGAGTAACATCTGAAATATATATAGCGGGTCACCAGGAAGAGTAGTGTAGCCAAAGAGCCAATGGTGTGAATCATCACAATGTGTGAAAACTGCTTCTTTTTGAAAACATGTTTAAAAACTACTCAGGAGCCAAACTACACGCTCACATGTAACACACACACACCACACACACACCACACACAAAAGAAATGTACAGTCATCCAGCTGGACAGACTCATTGTGGACCAATGGGGTGTGTTCTCTTCTATCTATTTTTCTGATGCTAGCTAAAAGCAATCATCATACTCAAGTAACTCTAAAATGTGTTCACAATGTACCTAAGTTCTCCTTGGTCCTTGGATACTGAAGACCCAGAGGAGAGGGGGAAAAAAAAAAAAAAAAAAAAAAAAAAAAAAAAAAAAACCCGAACTTTCATACCAGTAGGTACAAGCATTCACTTTATAGACAGAGGCATTCAAGAATGCTTCTCTAAGTGGAAATGTCGAAACCCTTCCAGAAAAACTACCAGAGGGAAATCTGTTTTATAAAAACACTGGGGTTTTATTGGCCTTTTTCAATATGTTGACATGTGTGCTGATGGTGTAAAAAAGAATGGTTGGTAAAAACACTGGCACTCTGGCTGAACCCAGGCAATGACATAAAAAAGAAACTACTGTACTTTATGGTAACAGTATTCACAGTAAAAACACTTTTTCTCAGCAACTTTGTTTTTGAAAATACTTTTCATAGACTGTTCATGTTAACATATAATGGGCTCATTGCTTTAAAATGTTACAGGAAATACTGAAAATTTTAATTTCTATCACTATAAATATTGCTAGTAATAACCTATACACACAATAAAAAAATTCTTGGAGATCTTTCATTCTTTTAGATGTCTGAAAGTGCACAGAGGAATCACTATCAAAGACTTGCTCAATTTTTGTAAGAATTTGGAGTGTGGGGGAAGAAATCATGGCATATGTAATAAATCATGGCATATGTAATAAATGCAGGGGTGGGGGGGAGAACCCAGCAGCAACAGAAAGAATGTTATAACTTAGGTTTTGGTTTCATGTATTTTTGAAAGAAATTAATAAAGTATCTTAATTTCTTATCTTTTTATTTTTTTCTTAAAATCTGAACAGGCTCTATTTGGGCCTAGGAGACTATTCCAGATCTAGTTTACTGCAGTAATAACTATGCATGTTACCCCTAGGGAAGCCTTCAATTAAGTAGGGATCTTACTTGTGTGGGGTGTTCTTACTCATGGAAGAAAATCAGTATATAACTGATACTTTTTCATTGTCCAAGGAAAGCTTTTAAGTGTCCAACAGACAACAGCTAACATTCATGCTATCATGAATCTGATCAGAAGCAAGACTTTTAAATTAAAGACCAACAAGAAGAAATTCATAGAACCACAAATAACTCATGTTTTTGGATACACCAAAGAATACATGAAACAAGAGCCAAGACTATGACGTTTGCATCCCTCAACAAACACCAGCACTCTAGGTGAATTTGCATCAGAGGTTCTACAAACAGAGACTCACACAGTGCAACCCAGACCCATACACAGCAAACACATATATATGAGATAGTCTTTAGACAACACAATGCCATAAATGTCTCAAGACTTTCTACAACTGCTCCTGACACATGTCACAGACAAATACTGACCAAAGTACAGACTTACAAAGCTACATTATATCAAGATGACACAGGCCCTACATGACCTATGGGGAGGAAGAGAAAGAAGGGCACTGAGGGGGTGCAATACAGATGCATATACAAAGAGATAGAAGGCAATCAACGCATGCGCTGGTGTGGACACTTACCTACCTACATTTGAATTTCAATGGTTCCAAGTTCTTCAGGTCACATTCATGGAAACTCCAAAGAATGGAGATCTGGAGAGAAGATCTCAAGTTGAGGAACCTTTTTCCCCCTGAGTTTTAACTTTAATGTTTAAAACATTGGTATAGACTATAGGTGCACAACAGTATGCGGAAAAGCCAGTAACTCAGCTATATTAATCAATTACTACAGATAAATTTGTTTATAACATGTTTAGCTTATTCCTAAAGCTTCTAGAGACAATGCTAAAAGATTATTAACCCTATTGGTGAGACTTAACGATGAAACTTTATCAAAAGGAAATGCCTAATTAGAAATACAGTCTATGCATTTAGTATGTATATATGGTATTTCTATTAGTCGCAGAATAAAGGTAGGATATTGCTACATAGAGCCTTGCAATGAGAACCTAGGCTAAAGTAAATGAGCAGCACACATCTGGTACAGTGAAAACCAAGAGGCAGAAGTCTTGGTGAAACGTTCTATTACGAATTGGTTAAACACCAATCTGAACAAAACAGACTGAAAAACCACCCGTGACTTAATGAAACACCTGAGTTCCTCAAACCAGGGTACAGATATTAAAAATTATACATGATTCCAGTAATGAAGCATTTCAGACTTTAAGCTGGTCTTAGCTCATTAATAACAGAGATGAAAGCTGATGTAAATATAGTCACTGAGAGGGTGAGTGGTGTTATCTGGATACACAAAGGCACCTGTGCAAGACAAGACTTCCTTCCACTTTACAAACAGTACCCTTGTGTTGATCACAGAA